GGGGGACTGATGGGGATAGGGAAATGGGAGGGACTATTCCCTGGGGCAACAAACGTGGCGCTTGGGGCGCTGGAGGGGTGGGGGACCGACAGCCAAGCCATCCTCTGCCAGCCGCGCCACGCCGCCGCGGGGCACCCTGTCCGACAGCGGCCGCGCGGCCTAAAAGCAGGACAAGCGAGGCGGGCCAACTTTGCGTTTGAACCGAGCAAGAAGGTCGGCTCATATCAACCTCGTTTTTAAGAGCGAGCAGCCATGAATTTTTCATTTTTCGGTCCGGGCGTCAACTTTGAAGGCGACCGGCCGGCCGCTTTTCTCAGTTTTCGCCGCCCTTGCTTAATGCGGCCCCTTAGCCCTCCGGAGTCCAATTTGTTTATTAATACAGCCATGTTCCTCCTATGACCTTTAGCACTCGACTCGCTGTCAAAAATATTTTGTGTGATGCTTATGCGAGATATATATCATTTTTCAAACTACAGGCAAGTACAATAACAACTGGCACAGATACCGGTGAAGTTCTCGACTTTGTCGATAAAGTTGGGTATGTTAAATGTATTCTTTTCACACAGTACAGTCGAGGCGTGTGAATTGCAATCTCCGGAAATGACCGACAGTTGATAGCGATATCGTTTTGTGGGAATTTAACGTCGCTCGCCCTCCGGGTTTTGTGAGCAGGGAACGGAGGAGTGGGACGAGGGGTACGTGGTAGAGAGCGCGATGGGAAGCAGCACGGGAAGCAGTCCACGTCGGCCAGGAAGCACCGGAAAAGGAAGTCGGCAGGCAGAGAGAGAGAGAGAGAGAGAGAGAGAGAGAGAGAGAGAGAGAGAGAGAGAGAGATGAAGGGAAAGGGGGATCTGGGGGAGGGGAATAAAGGAAGGAAGGAAGTAGAGAGAGAGCGAGGGAGAGGATCGGGGGGAGCGACGGGGCGAGAAGGGAAGTCGGTAAGGCGACGCCGGCGTCTCGGGATATATAGCCGGGTCCTTAAGTGATAGCAGCAATATTTGTCAGTCTGATCGGCCCCCGGAGGAATAGCCGCCCTAATGGCTCGAAGCTGCCGGAAGACGGGACATGGAGGGAGGAGGCGGTTGTGAAGGGGGGAGGGCGGGGACTTCGCGCGACACCTCTCCGCGCCCGTACGAGACACCTGCCGAGCAGTAAAGTGCAGGGAGAGTATCGTTGCTCCTGGGACACACAGAGCAGAGAGAACTCCTCCGTTCCTGGTGCGCGGCTGCCTGTCCCGCTCGTCACGGCGTCGTATCCCGTCCATTACTTATGCCCCCGTGGTCCCCGCTGATCCTGCGCTGTCTCGTCTCGTCCATTCGTGTCATCGCGGCCTCACGGGCAGCCTCACGGGCAGCCTCACGGGCGGCCTCACAGGCGGCGGCCTTACGGGCGGCCTCCGGGTAGTGGCAGTAGCGCTGCTAAGTACGCCATTAATAAGAACGGGAGGGCCGGGTATAAGGCTTGATGAAGTCCCGGCCTAACACGCATGCACGGCGCAGGCCGGTGCGTCCCCCACCCCACCCTGCTGCCAGCCACCCTCCCCTCGCAACCGCACCCGTGCCCAATCGCATTTCTCTCTCCCTCCGTCTCTCCCTCCCTCCCTCTCCCCGCTCCCCTCTCCCCCTTTCTCCCTCTCTCTCTCCCTCTGTACTGCTCTCCTCTCGCTCTCTCTGCTCTCCCTCTCTCTCCAGATCCGTGTGTGCCAACGGGTGACGGCAGGAGGCGGTGCACTATGTGCATGCTGCAGTACCACCCTCTTCACAAACTCTTTGTTTCTTGTTCGCAGGACGCGTCGCTCATTCCAGACGATGCGCCTCTGCCAAAAATGCCGCTGCCGGCGCTCCAGGTGACGGTGGACCGCTACCTGGACGCCGTGCGCCCGCTCGTGCCGCCCGCCACCTTCGAGAGGACCCGCAACATCGCCAAGGCCTTCACCGCGCCCACCGGCCCGGGTCCGCGCCTGCAAGCGGCACTCGAGCAGCGCAGGGAGAAGACCGTCAACTGGGTAAGAAACATCTTCACACGAATTTCAATCTATATTCGTGACAGGTTATTGTCTTGATGCAGAAATTCATTTACAGTGTACCGATATGATCACACAAGTATTAAATTGGCCGTTGTATACTTCCGAGTGTCAGGAACTAGAGAAGCCTTGATTTGTCAGTGTAGAGCAAATGTGTTTGTGGTTCTGTCGTCTCAATAGAAGCACTCGGGGTCCGCCTAATCGCTCTCTGTTCCTGCCCGTTCCATTACGAGTTTAGGGGCGCAACAAGTCAATCCGCGCGCAATGCGAGCTGAATGGGGAAACGCAGCGACGCATTTCTGAGCGGGAGAAGAATCTCATTCTGAACTGAACGGGGCGCGCAAGAAGGGTAGAGGGGGGTAGGCCGTGGTAGGCCGGGAGGCGCAGCAGGGCGTTTCCGGAAATTGGATTTCATGTCTCATTGGACGGCGAGGCCTGGTCGTTTTGCATGGTGGTGCTGGTTTGTGGAGGCGGGACGCGGTCCGTGGTGATCGCCGTGGTCAGTAACTTCAGCAGAGGAGAGGTAACGAAGATCACATTGAGTCGGCAGACGGACACTACTTGTAGCAGCCCAGGAAGGGGTTGACCTCCAGCTGCACCCAACTGTATTTGTTGTTTAAACTTACTGCACCTCGAATGAAAAGAGTTTTACTGAATTTGCCTAGACACTAAAACGGTTTAAACTTGTAATTTATTTTGGTGTGTTAATGCTCATAACAAAGGCAATAATAACGTTAAAAAAATTCCGACCTTCCAACCTTTCTGTCAGACTAGCGTTAGAATGCGCGAGTGGTCCGGGCCGCTGATGCCAGACACACGCTGGCAGATAGCGCGAACAAAAATGTGGGCGTTCCCGTTGCGTTTTTATGCCAAACCTCGCCGCGATACGGTAATGAGATTGCTCGAGATGTGGGATCGACAGACGGGCGAGCGAGGTACGGTATAGGGAGGGGGAAAGGGGGGGGGGGGGGGGAGGACCCACATCACGACTAGGGCGAGACGTGACCAGCACACAGGTAGAGCCGCCCAAGGCTGCCAGGGCTGCCACCAGCCTCGGCCGGATCGATGTCAGGGCTACATGGCTACATATCCAAGTAGTTGGCGGAGAAGAGAGATGGGGGGTGAGTAGCGTCCTGGGCAGCTTAGGCGAAGTTGCTCGATGTGCAAATTGTTTGGAACAAACGGAAAGGGATCGGAAAAACGAAAAGAATTTCGCGGACTCACTGAATACTGAATAGTGAGTGCAGATCATAAATAACTCTTCAACTTAAGCAGGCGCCATGATCCTAGGATTAGAAGGAAGACTCAACTAGTGTGGCCGGCAAACAAACAATAATGACTCAAATTTTGATTTTAAAAACTGGCATAACGATATATTTTGTAGCGGACTGAAACCCCGCCTGATGCGAGGGTCCGTCGTGTGGAGATGGGCCGAGAACCCGACCAACGCCAACGCCCTACCGAATTACTTTATGAAGTTCCCAAGTCGGTGATCTAACAATTTTCAAGTTAACGTAATACGATGAAGTCCCCCGACGCTGGGCAGGCCGCAGATGGGGCTCGGGCGGCAAGGGGTGGTCCTTGCGCCCCCTTCTCCTCCCCCAACCCCCGCTCGCCCGGGCCAGCGCGCCCGTTGTATTTAGCCTTTGATTGGCTCACTTAATTCGATTGTGGGGTGGGCGCCGATGTGGGGCCAGGACGGGGAGGCGGGGTAAGGAGGGGGGAGGGAGGAGGCCCAACATCTTCTCTAAAGAGCAATTTGTTGCTGAAGCGTTTTCGCGGCCAATCAAAACATTGTCTTGCTCGTCGAAAGGATCATCGCCTCTCCCCTTGTCACGTCGAATTGTGATGAAAGACGTGATTCGTTAAGCTTCCAATTTAGGTGGAAAAGAAAGCGTGATTGAGAGCGTTCGTCGCGATATGGATCAGGAAAGCAGGCAGAGCAGATCTCGTGACACGGTAAGTTTCAGACTCAGGTTCATAAAATGTGCAGCCAACAGCCGCGTTAGAATAGGAAAGAGAAAGAGATAAAATGCCATGCAGGGTGACAATTCAGTTGTTAACAACAACAACATCAATTCAAACCCATTCACAACCCTCCCCTCAGCGATTAAACAATGATAAACAATAATTGACTGTCGCGTCCGGATGATCGAGTTAAAAGTGCCTTTCACAATTGGACTGGAACAAAATCACCCTCCGCTTCTCGTATTTCCCACTTTCTTTCCGTCCGCGTGGCCGGTGGGGTACCGGGGCGGCTGTAGCATGAGCCCCCGCCGTTGCCCTGCACACTTTCCCGCATCGTATTTCTAAAAGAAAGTGACTCGGGTCGTGTCGCTGAGGTCGCCGCCGGGCTCCGCTCGACTCGTATTCCTTCCTTAATCCTTCCGCCGTGACCTGGGGCCACCGGGGTCAGCCTTGCGCCGTGGCGCCCCGTCCGGCGCGCGCTCAGGGATCCTCCAGCTCGGCCTTTGGAGCTCGCGGGTGCGGTGGCGGGGCGGGGCGGGGCGCAGGGCGTGGTTCGGCCTCCACCCAATCGCTGCGCTGGGGTGCGGGCGGGGGCGCGCCCGGCCCACCCCGCGAGCCTCGCCGCCACGCCCTGCCACGCCCCGCTACGCCCCCTCGGCCCCGGACTCGGGGATGGCGGGCTGGGTGTGAGTAGAGATATTTAAATCCGGTGTGATACACTCGGATATGCCGCTTCGCCTCTTTGACATGAACTTGTCTTGGCTTTTGCCACTTTTGCGTAAGGACCGACAGTTTCGTCGATCCGAACATTCGTTCGTGACGTAACGGCGCTGATCTCAGTTGGTTGAAAAGATCTTGAAGATCGTCTCGGTGCACTGTTAAAACCTTACGAAGCAAAATGTCAAATCCTTCGCAAATGCGACGCATTTTCTTTGTAACTACAAAGCACACTGTGAAAAGCTTGCGAACTATTCTTTGCATTGCAAAGAATTTTGACGCGTTGTAAAATGCTTTGCATTGCGAATTAAATCCCTCGCATTGCGAACTAATTCTTCGCACCTTTACGAAGAAAATTGTTCGTAACGCTTTAAAGAATTAGTTCGTAACCTTGCAAACTATTTCTTCGCAACTTACGAAAAAAATAGTCTGGAATGTAGATAATATAGTTTGCAATGCAATTGCGAAGGATTTTGAATTTTGCTTCGTATGGTTTTAACAGTGTGAATGTTTGAACGTTGTTGGGACAGGTCAAGTTATACAGGGTGGCCCATCTACGCTCTCGAGGGTGAGTGCGGGGTCGCGAAGGTGATCCAAGAGGCGACACGCCCCCGGCACAAAGTGTCACGCTGCGGGACGGGCGCGTCGGCGTCAAGTCGCGGAGCAACCTCGGGACCGCTCGCGACCCCTAGAGCTTGCTGTGGCGGGTCTGACTACATACTGCAGAGGACGGTGTAGGTGGGCCACCTTGTATAATGCCGTGCGTCTCCTATAATAGTCCGTGTTGAGGTGCGAAAGATATGCCAAAATTGTAAACTCTCACAAAACATTCTGAAAAGTACTCGTAGGTTTACGGAAAATTTTTCCATGATGTAAGTCCTAAAAATTACAACTTGAATATTTTGTAAAATTACAATCACTTCCTATCGACTTGGAATTCATCAAGGAACATAAATGGTCCGCCGTAAATTTACAACATTATTTTGCAATTCCAAATCAAATTACAAAAAATATGTCGTAACTTTACGAGGACATTTTTCAATGAAGCTTCACTTTGGAGTTGGAAATGTCAAGGCTTATTTTTAGCCCTCCAGCCCTCTTCACCACGTTCTACCAGGTGTCTGATAAACCATTCTTACGTGTGGGTGTGCCTACTCGCTCGATCCGTAAGCCACCCAGTCAGGGGCGATAGGAAACCCCTTACGCACGCCTGCTCACAGTTGGAACTTACAGATGTGCGCGCGTGGGATTTGTAAGCCACATCAATATCCACATATGACTGTCAGAAATTTAGCTGGCCCGAGATAAGCATGGCCAAGCAGCACTGGAGATCAAAGTGAATGCAAACCACTGGGTAAACGAGTGAATAAAAAAGAAGCCCGCACAACTCCGGAAGGTTTTCCAAGTCTAAAATCTTGGTATAAATTACAATCAAATTGCATTTCAATCGGAATAAATATTCAAATTTTAGACTGCATGTGGGCTGCTTCATCTGCCTTGCGAGCTTGCGCGGGCTGCTTAACCGGGAGCAAGAGCGGCGCGGCTCACACCAGCCTGACCTTTTGTCTGACAGACACTGGTCAGAAATAACAAATTAGCTAATGTATGGATTCATAATCGGAAACTCGCCGTGGCAGCTAATAATTGGTTGTAAGAGAAAGAGTGCGACCTCAGCGGGAGGCAACCAATCCAATTGGTCAAATAAGTTCTCAGAACGACCAGGTTGGCTCCCGCACTTACAACTCGCTGTGGCTACTAAACTCTTGTCTCTCACAACTGAAGTTGAAGAGTTTTAACTCTTGTCTCTGGCAAACAATTTTTGGCTGCCACTGTGAATTCCTTGGCTGTCCTAAAATTAGCTCATTCAGTCCTGCCAACTAACAATTATTTTTTTAATGTTTCGTGTGCTTAACGACCAGAAGCGTACCTTAAAAGGAGACTCGCTCCCTTATAGGCCTGAGTGGCGCGGGTGCCAGGAAGTAGCGGCGCCCGAGCAGCCAGCGCCATCCGGCGGAGGGTGCCAGAACCACCACGGCTCCACTGGCAGTTCAGAGCGCCGCCGGGCGGGGGCGGCAGCGTGCAGGCAGGCAGGGGCGCTCGGAGCTTGGAGGCACGGGCGATATGAGGCTGTGGAAACGACGTTAAGAAATGATGTTCACATTGTGGGGCAGAAAGAGGGAGCGGTCGAGCGACATAGGCTCTGTTCGGATTAAAAAGAGACACATTTTGCGACACAATTTTAATTCTTACCGTCATTCTTTAAACAGTTCGAAAAAGTTAAAAATCGTAGGATTCTTCTCTTTCTTACTCTTTAGTTTTCCTTAAGCATTTTTAATTGCGTACAGTTGCACTCGTCATTATGCCATTGACCGATATTATATATTTTACATAGTACCGATCAAAACATATGTTTTTATTAAACTCTGATCGGAGTGGGAACCAGCGGCAAGACGGGAGTATGGCAATCGCAGCGAGATCAGAGTGTCACGGGTGGGATCAATCTTCCGAAGGTCGCTCCCCCCTCCCACCTGACACCGCCGTGATCCCAGCGTAACATCACGCCCTCCCCCTCGCGAGTAGAGTGGGCTGAGTGTGTGGTCCGCACATCTAGAGTACCCTAACAGAGGTTACTGTCGCGTGAAACTCTCATTCGAAACACTCTTACGAAGCGTTCAAAATACCTAACAGAAGCGAACCTTTCCGGTAGAATATTGACAGAATTGACGTTTAAGAAAGTAAATAGTATTATTTATGACTGCTTGCAAAATTGGTGATCTGCCATCAGCCACCGCCATTCCAGCGAGCAGCCCTCGTGCCCCTTCATCATCTTTTTTTTTTGTTCGCAGCCTCCTCTCCATTTATTCATTTGGTGCCCTGGAGAATCCGACCCCCTGAGCTCTCTTTCTCTCCTGTTGGGGAGGTAGCCCAGCCCCTCCTCCCCTTCAGTCGCTCTGCTGAGCGCCTTGGGGGTAGGCCTGCCCGTGCGGCAGAGGTGTGTGGCGGGACGGCCTACCCCGGACTTGGCAGGCGCCGAGGCGAGGCTGACCGTAGACAGGCCCGCGCCGCAGAGGTGTGCGGCGGGACGGCCTAACCCGGACTTGGCAGGGACAAAGGCCTACTGGCCGTAGGCAGGCCTCCCCCTCCTACCTCCCCTCCTCCCCCTTCTACCCCTCCCGCTTTCCGATCGGAAGGTCCAGACTGGTCGAGTGCCTCCAATTCCCTGGACGCCCATTACGGTGTTAATGACCATCGCCTACTTTACGGGGGCTCTGCGCTACGTGCCGCCGTGCCGACCACGTGGCGACGCAGCCTGCGAGCCGGGCATTAGCTATGCAGCGCAGGTACGCCACCGTTGGTACACCCCCTCCCCTCCTCAGCCGCGTTCTCTCCCACTCCACTCGGCGATATTCTAGTCCCTCGGAGCCTTTTTGCACCAGTCGCGAAAGGGAGGGGGATCACAATAACCACACAAGTCAAAGGTTGGGTCTAGTTAGTTTTAAATTACAACCCAGTAACGTATCCGAAAGGGTTAGGAACAACCATCTGGCCCAAAGTATGGAGGATAGCGGCCATTATTGACTCCTCCGCGCCCGAACCTGACCGGCAGGCGAAACGCTCTGCGCCGAAGTTCCACGCCTCAAGCGCTCTTTGCGCCGCGTTCAAGGGCTTGCTCTCGCCCACTACAACCCCTTGCCCTGCCAAAGGGCTGCGCAGCTCGGCCTACTACTCTCCCTCGCTGTTGTTATATCTGCTGAAAGCAGCTCGGCCCCAAAAGTTTGTTCGATTCACGCTTTCTTTTGCGGTCGCGTGCCAAACGAACGTCTCGGGGAGGGGGTGGAACGAAGGGGGAAGTTGTGGAGAAAGGGAGAGAGAGAGAGGGAGAGAGAGAGAGAGAGAGAGAGAGAGAGAGAGAGAGAGAGAGAGAGAGAGAGAGGCTCAGCCTTGCTGGACTATCGACCCACAGCGCGGTCGATGAAGACACAGTCTGAGGCCATGAAGGAACAGATTGTGAAGGCTTGGGTTTGGACTACGCGGGAGGGAGAGGGGGAGGGCGGAGTAGACCCTGATGTGGGGCAGCTGGGCTGCAGAGGGCATATAGCACACGGCGGTGTGGCGGTGTTAGTTGCCTCCCATAAGTAGTTAGTCAAGGCGAGGATGCCTGACAAAATGTGTAACTCGGTTTTTAACTTAAATAAGAAGCCTGTCCTGATGTATGCGGCAGGCGACGGATGCGCCCTCTTGAAATTAAGGTGGTGCCGGAGAAGAAGTGGTCATGCGTGGTGGTTTGAGCAAAGGCGGAGGCACGGAGAAGAGGGGAGGATGAGGGGGGAGCGGGGGACGATGAGGGGAAGGATGAGGGGGGTGGAGGTCGGACGTAGCGGAGCTCCGTGACGAGCAGCAGAAATGGCTTATTGCAGGTGGCGTCCCGTGCGAAAGCCGGCGACAATATTTTTCACTTCTTTCCGTAAGGACACGACAGTTTCACGGCAGGGGGTGGGGTTCCGTACTCTGGCGCGGGCGCGGCCTGGGTCACGGAGAGGAGCGATAGGAGAGTTCGGGGTGGTGGTTCTAGGGATGGTGTGGGGGAGGGGGAGGAGAGGGTGGTCGCGGGGGAGATGGTGGTGGCTCAGTCCCACGCAGGGCGACGTGATTTACGGAGGCATTTAGAGTGAGGAATGCGAGAGATAACTGGCAAAGCTAACCGGACCACAGGGAAAGGGGGAAAAAAGAGGAGGAAGGGGGGGGGGCTGCTTCTATTCCGTTCAGCCTCTTCCTCGTGCCAGACTTCCGTGTGAACACTAGTTTGTTACCCAATCCTTAAGAGAATCAGCTTAAAAGGAATTTCTCGCCTACCAATCAAAAATCGTTGTAGCAAACAGTTTCTAATTTCCGTTATGTGTAAGATAGTGTGAAATTATTCGCACATCATGCAGTAAATGTTTCATATTCAGAAACGGTTCAAAATGACGATAAGTTGACAGTTTCCGACATGCTGTCTGATGCAGGCGTACGAGTGGTGGCTGACCGACATGTACCTCAACAACCCGCTGCCGCTGCCCATCAACTCCAACCCCGGCATGGTCTTCCCCCCTGCCCTGGCGCGCACCGCCGAGGAGCGTGCTCGCTTTACCGCGCGCATGGTGCTCAGCGCCGTCCGCTACCAGACCGACATCCTCGACAAGTGAGTCCTTTTTTTTGTGCGTCCTGCCTGACGCACAACTTCGTCTTTTCTTTCAGTGCATCGTATCGCCCTCGGCCAACCTGACCCTACTCTAAGTGTGATGACAGTTGTCTTTCCAGAAGAACAACCGCCTTAGCCATGTGGCACAAATAAAACACGGGATACAAAATTGTCGAGAAATTGGCTGGAAAATTGCATGAGAATAGAATTGCGCTCTGTGCAGTCTGCCGTGAGCCGCGCTGTCGTCCACCACGACGGTGACACGCGACTCGCCCGCTGCAGCTGCCGCAGCTGTCCGCCCGCCAGCTGTCGCCCAGCTGTCTCCCAGCTGTCGCCCCAGCTGCAGCTGGTGCCGTGACAAGCGGCGGGTCGTCCTTGGAGTCCCCCCGGCTGGTACGGCCGCCCTCCCCCGCCCTATAATGCATGGCATGCGACGCGGATCGGAAACGGCACCGGCCGGCCGGGGTATATTCTCGTCCCCTTTCGTTACCCGTTACCCCCCATCATCGTCGTCGGTGGAGAGAGAGTGAGTGTGGAGGGGGGGAGGGAGGGAGGGAGGGAGGGAGGGAGGGAGGGAGTCACTCAGAAGACACCAGGACCATTACATCGTTGTGATGCGTTTGCAATGTGGCGTAACCTTTGACCCGAGGCGCGCGCAGTGGGAGGCGATGCGGTCGCTGGTGGTCATATTTCATCCGGCGTGACTGCGGCGCGTTGTCGCCCGCCCTCGCGCCCGCCTCACCTCGTCCCGCCCCACCCCGCCGCGCGGCGTGTCCTGATGCGCTGGCCGCTGGCCGCCAGACTATAGGCGACCAGAGTCCGCCTGGCCCGAGTTGGATGAGGAACAACTTTCGCCGCCGGCACTGCTGCAACTAACTTTCCTGGCGCGTGTATTCCGCCCCCAAGCGCCCAGGTGACGCACGCGGCGCTGGCGCTTGGCGTTGCCACCTGGAATGTTTCTCTGCGCAACGGGGCTTTGGGAACGGTGGACAATCTGGCCGCCAATGGTTGGGATGGGCATCGCAAACAGAATTACCTCTTTTTCTTTCAATCATGTACAGCTTTCTCCGGCTTCCTCTTTAATAGACTGTCGGTGACTTCCGAAAGAAATGGCGCATAATAATCATGCTGACACATTTATTTAACCCTCAAATTTTGATTGGTAACCTACACAATGAGCTTTGCCCAACTATCCCGAGATGTCGTGGGGCTGAATTGGCAGTGGTCTGCTGGCGACAGATGAAGGAAGGCACGAGTGGAGCGATCTTGCTGCTGTCGATACTCCGACGTTTCGCCTCTGCCGAGACAGACATCTCATCAAGTGTCATCTAGGCGCGTCTCCCTGGAGCGCCGCCCCAGATCAGACCCGATCGGCGACGTGGACGTGCGAGCCTGGGGCCCCAAATCTCGGCCAGGAGAGACGTGGATGTGGGTGTGTAATTAACTCGGATGCACAGTCGACCAATCCAATATGTTGCCATCCCCGCATCTGCCCATAACGGGCGTGACATTTATCAGGTCGCGAAATGGGGTCTGGTGTGGCGTGGCGCGGGCTGGCTGGGAAGGTCGCCCAGGGGTCGAAGCGACACCCGCACGCCGCTCGGGATTTTCGAGGGAAACTAATATCGGACCGATCCATCAAACGCAGAGCCGGCAGAGGCTGCCCTAGTGGGGCTGCGCAGGGCTGCGCGGGGCTGTGCGGAGCTGTGCGGCTGTGTGGGGCGGAGACAGGGGTGAGGCACCTGGACGTGCTGCTGCTGGGCCGAGGCGCGCCGAAGGGGCACGTCCTCCGAGAGAGAGAGGGGAGAGCGAGGCCTCGTCGTGCGACGTCACCGACAACCCCCAAGGCCGCGCCGGTACTAGGGAGGGTGTGGAGGGCGGGGTGGAGCGGCTCGCGGAGAGAGAGGGAGCAAGGCGCACCTCCCTGTACGCATTCTGCACACAATGTCAGTTTCACTTTATGGCAAGTCTCTGCCCGTTTTGCAGTTGCCTTCCGCACCGCCCTGCCCTGCCCGCCGTACCGCCAGTTAAAAATAAAACTCGCGAACGCGCGTCATGCGCGGAAAATACTGCCATAAAAAGAAACAGTCTATGAGCAGTAAACACAGCGAAGGTCGAAGTAGGTCAGGGGAGTCGGGCCGCCCCTTTCCCCACCACAGCGGGGCGCAGCAGGGCCTTACCCACGTGCTTCCGGGGGGCGCCACCTGGCGGAGGGGTGGGGTCCGGTGGGGGCGCGGGTGAGGTGCAGGCCCTGGTGGGCAGGAGGGGTGGGGCCCACTGGGGGCGCGGGTGAGGTGCAGGCCCAGGTGGGCAGGCGGCCCGTGTTGCTCCTCAGAAACGCGGGAGCAACGGGCCTCAGCGGGCCTCACAGCCGCAGAAGGACGCGCGCACCAGCCTCCAGGATGACGACGGCGCTGACCACGCTGGAGCGGCGCAAGCGGCTGCTGGGCTGCGACTACTACTACCCGCGCTACCGCTTCTACTCGGACCGCTTCTACTACGACCGGCTGCTGGACCGGCTGTACGACTACAAGGGCGACTCGTACTACTACCCCTACAAGTACAGCGACTACTGGGACTACTACGACTACCGGCCGCTGCACTCATGCGAGTACTGCGACCCGCTCCACTGGCGCAACTACCGCTACCGCGACTACAAGAAGTACCTGTACTGAGGAGGCGTGCCTGCTGAGGCGCGGAGCGGCGTGGAGCGGCCGGCGAGTGGCGCAGGGAGCTGCCCCGCAGGGAGCTGCCCCGCAGGGAGCTGCCGAGTTGTCGGTCGTCCGACTCTTCGTCCGCAGCGGCCCTGCAGCCTTGCTCCGGCTCACTGCCCTGGGGGAAGGCGTCCCTGGGGGGCGATGGAGAAAAGAGAGAGAGAGGAGAAGCGAGCATCACGCGGGCGACTTCTCTGCTTCTGGCCGCGGCCGGGATCCTTTGAGGTTAGCCAGACTAACCGTCTGCGATCTCGGCTGGCGCGGCGTGTGACTACTCGGTGCGCCCGGTCTTCGTGAGAGCGGGGCGCCCCACTCGGGCTCGACAGTGCCTTGTCAAAGTGATGCCACCACCGTCATCATTTCTCGCACAAATAATCTTGGGTAGCCAAATGTAATGCCACCGTGACGTCATGTGGACTGCCGTGCGTTTCCTTTGGGGCGTGTTTACTTGGGCAAATGTGTAAAACTGACAGCATGTGCCAACTGAGCGGTGTCAATCTTATCCGTGCTTCCAGAGAACGTTCGTATTGTTTTGTTTTATTCCCGTTTTTTGAAGCGTGTCAAACCTTTTTTTGTTTTACTAAACTCAATGAGAGAGCATATTTCGAGTATTTTTCCTCGTCAAGTTTTACACGTTTGCCCGCGCAAAGTATATGGACTTTACAATGGTGTAAAGTCCGAGTTCCCTTACTTCAAAACATGTGCCACCCCTTCGAGAGAGCTAGTTGTAAGACGGTCTAAGGCTGCTGTTCATGGAAACGAGCAAGAATGATGATATAAACGAAGCAGAGAAACCCTTTATGCACCCCGCACCTCACCACCTCTGGTTCCTTCGTCAGCACACCGTCCGGTAGTTCTGCACAAAAGGATTATGAAGCGATTGCACCCACCATCAACATTAACACCCAACGCACTCCAAATTACGATTGTAGATTTCTTTGGCCACACCACAGTCAATTAACGCACAGGGATAAGCGAGAGGCAAATGATTTGGCACCGTCGCTAGTTTCGGTTCAGAGGTTACCGCATACCTCCAGATGCACACATCGTAGAACATTATATTTTCAATCAGACGTTTCACCGACTCGCATTCACTTACCTCCGCATTTTATTTTTACCCTGAGCGCCCAAAGCCATGCAACGACGGGTGCTCTAGAAACCCAAGTGTGTACATGTATGCGTTATCTCCTGAATACCTGAATTTTTTCAGGAGACAGTGTGTGCCGGGTGTTTTAGAACTGGTACCGCAGTGTTGCGGGTTTGCCAACTCCCTTCCACCTCAAGGCACTATTGTCCCCGCGGCTCATCGAGTATGCCATTTCGTAACACTGCAGTATTCGCTCTGAAACACCTAGTACATGGCCTCTTCGAAACCTAGCTTTTAGCATAGGGCTCTTATAAATGCAGGTGCTCGGGAGATAACGCATTGATTTAGACACTTCTAGAGTACTCTGTTATAAAAACTATTGTAAATTAACACCGAACGTGTAGTTTGTTGCCAGCACATGTTGTTGTTTTTTTTAGCAAACATGGTGTCGTCACAGAACAACATTCATAAAAACCTCGAAAACAAAGTTTCAGACAGAAAAAGACACTTTTGTCTTGGTCCTAGAAAAAAATGTAATATTGCAAGTGTTTTGTTTTGGAAAGAAATGTGTTGCTAAAGAAATTACCAAAGGTTATCTTGTGCGCCGTTCGGGTACAAAATAGCAATACAAAGTAGTTTCTGCAGGGCAGTATAGGCCAAATATCACAAGTTTCGAGAGGGTTAAAATGAAAACAACACTTTTGTTTTTAAACAAGTCACGTAGTCTGTTATCAGGTCACCTCGTCTACGCTGTTGTTGTTTCTGTTTTGTTTTTGTTTGTTTTTTGTTTTTTAGTTTTCTTTTATTAATTTAAAGAAGTCCCTTAAGTTTCATGAAAATTAATAAATTTATGACGACGATAAAAAACAAAAATCGAGATAATATTGTAATTCACTTCGTGACTTTGCAAAAATTTGTGCAAAATTCGACACACTCAAGAACAACTATCACCGCCTTGTTTTATCTGCAGACTTCCGTCATGCTTCCGTGCTGCGGAGTCTAACGGCTCAGCTCACGAGCACGCAATGGCAACGGCTGGGTGCGCAGCTTGCGTGTTGGACAGTACGCGCCCCAGTGCGAGTTTCTTCGCATTTAATTTCTTGCATCGTATAACGTTATGCACGCTCAAAAATATTGGGACTGGACTAGAAAAAGTTATCTCATCAGCACTGTTTTCCGGTTAACAGATATATCACACATCTTCCTCCCTTCACACACGTGTACTTCAACCACTCTAGCCCGCAAGGTGCAAGGGCGAGGCTAGGTGCACAGCTAGTTACGCTTTTTTATTTTTCGATTATGTTTTACCATTAATTTTTATCAACGAAAATTTTTACGAAGCTCGAAGTGCATCGATTTCTCACCGTACCGTTTCTTAATTCTACCATGCAGCAGTGTTAAACTCGCCACTGCCTCTATGTAGACTGGTTGTAATAAATATAATTGTAATAAATTATGTAAAAATTTCACAGAAATCAATGTTTATTTTTGTCTTTTTCTACCTAATTAAACACTCTAAAAATACATCTTCCCTATCCAGTGCTAGTTTTAACTGGTGAAACAAATGTAGGAAATGTAATCTTTAAAAAGTATTCAAGCACTAAAGGCATTACAGTTTCTGTTAGGCAGTTTATTATTTCCTTAGAAAGACCTGTTTTCGTAATCGTCTCTTCAACAATCACTCTAGTCGAATAATGAGGTTCCCACGAGTTTGGAAAACCTGGAACGACATGAAAAGACGTGAAAAGACATTTGATCGTGGCAAATTATGCAAATAAAGTCAGAAAAATTTATCGGAGATCATGGAAAATTCAGATCGATGCCCCCAACGAAAGAGTCCGATCTGCTTTGCTGCTGAACTAAAAGAATTCGATCTGTACCGCTGTCTTTTCCACAAAGTCCAAACTGCTTTGCTACCAAACATAAGGGTGTTCCTACCTGATGTTAAAGGTCTTATGGGTCCATCACATTTCAAAAAATTTGAACAGGAATAACAAATGCCAGGGAGTCAAAATGTGGTAACCCTGGAATTATAATTATTGTTCGTGACACTTTATACTAACTACTCCTGCTGAGTATTCTTTCCACCCATGCCATCCTAGGTGTGCTTCTTGAGGTTCACGTTGCACCACAAGCTTATTTAAACAAAAAGTATAGGAGCGGCTGATGAGGTTAAATCCTATAAGGCCCATGCAGGACCACGCCACAACAGTTTCCTGTAACGATAGAGGATACATCTCACGGTAAGCGCTGTCCTTTACAAGAATGTCAGCAGACAGCTCTGCGGCGCGGGCCTGCCTACGGCCAGCCACGCCTCGACCCGAGCCTCGGCGCCTGCCAAGTCCGGGGTAGGCCGTCCCGCCACACACCTCTGCTGCGCGGGCCTGCCTACACCCAAGGCGCTCAGAGCGACTGAAGAGGAGAAGGGGCTCGGGCTGGGGATACCTCGCCAACACGAGAACAGCATACGAATAAATACTAATGAGCTCGCTCGCGAGGTGGCTCAGATCGTCCCGCCTGGGCGGGAGCTCGGTTTTGTGGAAATTTGCCTCCCTTTCAGGCGATTCACCAGAGCCGATGGAGACGATCCTTTCCCATACCGCGCCTGGGGCAGGCCTGCGTTGCGTACAGATTTTGTAGGCCTGGTCGAGGGGACTGTCTCTTTCTTAACCCTGTTGGCTACTTGTTTATTGTTTGTTTTGTAAAAATATTTTTAAACGTAAAACAGGAGTCTGGGAAATGTTCATACTTCAATTTTCCTGGTGTATATTTTTGCCCCAGTAGTTGCAGACAGCTCTGTGCTGACGCAGGCGCGCCCTCGCTGCCGCCGCCGCCACGCCAGGTGAGGCGCGAGGCGCGTCCGAGGATGAGATAAGTTGGGGCCTGTCGAAAGCACAAGAAAGTTCTGTGTGAGACAAGCCGCATACAGCTGCCTCGGGCAACCAGTTGATATCACAACTAAGCGCTGCTGGGGTAAACACGTCGGCCGGAGGAAACGGAAACCGCAAACAATAAGACCGGGAAGGGGATGGAAAGAGGGGAAGGGGGGGGGGGCACTCGTGCCGGGGGGCAGGCTGACGCTGAAAGGCTGCAAGGTCGGGAAGGTGCTGGGACCCGGGGGCCGGGCACGGCGGCCCGCGGCAGCCGCGTCGGCAGACTGGGAAGACTGGGAAGGGGCAAGTCTTCGCCCTCTCTGCCCCGCGGGGGCTTTTCGTCGACGACGGCAAGGTCAGAGCCAAAGGCGCTCCCCATTGATCGGCAGAATAAAGACGGCGTTCGGGGAAGACCAGGAGGACCCCACGCCGCCCCCGGCCCGGCGCCATCGCCATTGTGCTTCCTTTTGTGGAGCGCTGCTTTTAATTACATTCAGACGCGGCTGCAGCGACGCCTCCTTGCATTCATGTTTGTATGGTTTGTAGCTGTGGGCGTCAGTGCGCCCCCGACTACAGGAAGGCAAAGAGAGAAAAATATCGCTTTTCCATGTTTGTTCTTCTCTCCTTTTTGTAGCCACGATACGCCACAACTTGACGTGGGCGCTATGTCCGCTTCAGAGGAGAGGAAATGGTGCGTGCAAGCGCCCAGGGCAAAGCAAAACATTCCGTTTGATTTCGCTAAACCTCCTCCCCTTTTCATCCCAGCCACCCGCTTACCTGAACAGCTCACAGCTCCCACTGCCGCGCGCAGGGTCCACATCCTGCGGCCTTTGGCACCGGGTCTAACCACTCGCACGCTTCGCTCCTGTTGCAGGAGGGCACTGCCCGTGGAGCGCGCCACCTCCAGGGAGAAGGGTCAGCCGCTCTGCATGTCGCAGTACTACCGCCTGATGACCACGGTGCGCAACCCGGGCAAGCCCCGGGACCAGCAGGTCACCATCGACACTTCCAGCGACCACATCGTGGTAGCGCGCCACAGCCAGGCAAGAACCAAGCATCATCTGTTTCCATTACTCTATTTCTGAGCACAAACTTGACATGTCAAAGCACCTCTTGTTTGTTGCCGCATTCTCGGGGGCTTCAGAATAATTGTATGCAAACATTCGATGTTGCACGATACGCATCAATCAGAAGGCTGCTGCAATAGCTGAAAAATGTGTGTCCTGCCCCGACCTTATCGTGTTTTGTTTTTCAGTTGTCTGGAGATAGGCAGTGCTTCGTTGACCTGATAGAGGTCTGCCCCTCATGAATCCCTGTGCTGTGCACGAGCGTAGAGAGCTTCCCTGTGCGACCCTCACACAAGCCCCTGTGCTTATGTTCTGTTCTATTCACTTGTCTGGAGTGTAAGTTTTCTTTTAATTTTTTTTCAACCCAATTTAAGTTATTTCTTCACCTACTTTCTTTTTCTAGAGTGTTACGACAAAGGTAAGTATGACTTTCTTTAGAGACCCAGTGAGAAATGCAAAATCGATAAATGGTCGATAATCATCGATCGATCGACGCAAATTCAACTCGACGTCGACTCGATTTTGTCCAGCAAATCGATCGTTTCGAACGTCGACGTCGTCGATTCGAAAATACATTTCTCATTTGGGAATCCGTTGAATCAGTAAACGTTAGTTGACGCGGCTGACAGCAACTGACAGCAGCTGACAGCAGCTGACATCAGCTGACAACAGCTGGCAGCAGCTGACAGCCCTCCGCCGCCGGTACACCTGACTGACCCCCACCCGCCGTGTGTTGCAGTTCTACGTGGTGCAGGTGCGCGCTGAAGGCGGCGGACCTCCTATCGGCGAGGACGCCCTGACGGGGCGCCTGGCCTCCATCCTGGCCGAGCCGGCGCCGGCCCCGGGCGGCCCGGCGGGCGCGGCGCCCATCGGCCTGCTCACCTCCCAGCGTCGCGACAAGTGGGCCGAGGCTCGCGAGCACCTCATCGCAGGTGGGCTGGGGGGGCATCTTATAGGGTGTCAGGAGGGTCTAGTCACTAGACTATAGTGCTTAAACTGCGCTATAGCTCTTGTAATTTGCTAACATGCCGGTGTATGGCAGACCCGGTGAACCGCACGTCGTGCGAGGCCATCGAGCGCGCGCTGCTGGTGCTGTGCCTGGACGCGCCCATCACCACGGCCTTCAACAACGCGCGCGCCCTGCCCGCCCGCGGCCACGCCGTGCAGGGCCGCGACGAGACCAACATGGCGCACCACATGATACACGGTGGTGGCTCCAAGGCCAACTCGGGCAACCGCTGGTTCGACAAGACCATTCAGGTGAGCGGCGCGCAGGCCGCCCTGCCCTGCCCACTTGGTCCGCGCCGGTCGGAACCCATGTGGTCTGTCAGGTCAAAACGATGGGGGGTGCCCATGTCGATTCCCTTCTCGTTTTGATAATCATTTCGATGTCGGCAGCTTGTCATCTCCTCAGACGGCGTGTGCGGCCTGTGTTACGAGCACTCGCCCTCCGAGGGGGTGGCCGTCATCCAGCTCATGGAGCAGATGCTCAAGGATGCCACGACGCCGGCCTCCGTGACCCTCCCTGCGACCCCGGGTTCCCCGCCGCCAGCCACGGCCCCAGTGAACGCGCCGCCGCGCCTGCTGGGCTGGAACGTGGACAGCACCACCCGCCGCCACCTGGACGAAGCCGCCAAAGCCATAGACAGGTAAGGTCCAGGTGACCGCGAATTAGCTTGAGCACGAGTCCACGCCCCCGGCACGAGCCCTTATATATGACCTTTCACTTGTTGCCTCAGCATGATAGATGACCTGGACTTCTACGTGTATCGCTTCAACGATTACGGCAAGGAGTTCATCAAGTCGTGCAAGTGCAGTCCAGACGCGTACATTCAGCTCGCGCTTCAGCTCACCTATATCAGGTAAGTGGCGTACTCGGTTCAGCCGTGGGAGGAGAGCGTCTCCCTGTCGAGCCTCTCTCTGTCGGGCTGCTGTGACGCTCAGCCCCGCGACTGTCGCAGGCTGTTCGGCAAGCCGACGGCAACGTACGAGAGCGCCTCGCTGCGGCGCTTCCAGAACGGGCGCGTGGACTGCATTCGGGCCGCCACCTGCGAGGCTTGGGAGTGGGCGGCCGCCATGCTGCAGCAGAAGCAGGGCGCCTCGCCCGTCGCGCCGCCACCCTCCAGCCTGGCGCCGGGCGCGGACAGCGACGAGAAGAAAGTCACCTTCGTGCTCTTCGATGTGAGTCTGTCTTCTACTCATCAACACCAGGCGCGGTTCTTGAAGGCCCCCCCCCCCCCGCAACGAACGAACGGCCGCCGAGTTTAGGGGATGTTCCCCGGGCAAGCTGGCGGGCAAAGGTGTTTGTGAAAGACACCTCGGTCGCCTCACTTTCGGCTTTGCCATGCCAGAGTTAGCACACTGCTCCGACGGGTATGTGTGTGTGCCATACCAGGTGGCTGACTCACGCCACGCCGCGCACTGTCGTAGTTAAACTGTACTGCATGCACGAGTGCGAGCGGGTTTGGCCATGCTTGCTGCCCAAGGCTCCTTGTGGCCCCTTGCGAGTAGGCAATCCGCCCACACGCGCGTGCGGTACAGTACCACTACGATAGTGCGCGGCGCGAGTCAGCAACCTGGTATGTGATGTGGAGTGGAGGCTCTAAGCTATTGAAAGCGCCTGCAGCGCGCTGTATAGGCCAGCCCGTCAAGCAGATGCGCGGAGCGGGCAGCGGGCAGGCCGCCTGCAGGCGCCTCACACTCAGAGGCACGGCCGTTGGGTGCCAAACGTTCTTTTATAGCGGTCTCTAATCCCTCCTAACGTCCCCGCCTGGTGCCTGGTTGGCGTGTTGGTGGGGAATGTTAATTATTGCGGGGGCAAACTCTTGGGGAAATTAATAAAATTTGGAAATCACGATTAACTTGCACGTCTTTGTGCGTTCAGAGGAGGTGCGGGAATGGATGGGCTATGTGACCCTATATGACACCAGACCTCATTCGTGTTTCTTTGTAGGACAACCGAAAACGAGAACTGTTCAAGGTGGCCGTGAAGAAACAGACTGACATCATGGTGCAGAACATCCTCGGCGAGGGTATCGACGTGCACCTCCTAGGTCTACGGGAGATGGCCAAGGAGCTGGGCGAGCCTGTACCGGACCTGTTCACAGACGAAACGTACAGGGTAGCCAACCACTTCGCACTCTCCACTAGTCAGGTAAGGGAACCTGCCACAGATGTGGTCACAAGTACAGCAACTGAGTTGAGTGCCGCAGGCGCTCCTGACGTTACGCCCGTCTACGCCCTGCGCAGGTGCCCACCGTCACGGACAGCTTCATGGGTTACGGGCCCGTGGTGCCCGACGGATACGGGGCCTCGTATAACCCAAAGCCAGACAGCATCGTCTTCTGCTTATCTGCCTTCCACTCCGCTGAGACCACGTCGACGGCGGCGTTCGCGCGCGCCTTGGAGCGGTCTCTGCTGGACATGCGAGACCTCCTGCAGACGCCACCCCAGCCCAGCCCGAGCCCCACGCCCAGCCAGGGCGACCACGTTGATCTCAAGTGAATATCAGTAGAAGCGGACCACTGCCCAGCGCCCCAAATCAAAGGGTCGCACACTGAACGATCGTCCTGTAATAACTACAATGTTATGTTTATTTCCCATGAACTGCCTTGACTGTTTGAAGGCCCCTCCTGACTGCTTACCCTGCCATAGTCATAAGTACAAAATCCAGGCGATCCCTATATGTATTTTGTCTAACAGAGTAAGAAGAATAGCGGGTAGAACATAAAGGTTTCTGATTGGTCCAGCCCTCACCCCCACTACCGCCGTGACATAGGCGGGAAGCTCTCGACCATTCAGCTCTCACGTTTATGTACTACCCGTCACACTTCTTCCTCCGTTAGCCACAATGCACTTTACATAGAGCCAATTACCTGTGGATCATTGAGATCTTTTGAAAAAAAAAACAACTAACACGTCCATCTAACATTTCAAAGGCAAGCACGCAGTTCTTAAGTTTCTCTACTGTTGGTGCAGATACAGCAACAGATTGAGAAAGGCCTAACGAATTGGTTCAAGCAGTTACCTGTAAAATAAGAACAATGCAGCTAGTAGACGATTAAAACTGAACTAGAACCGCTACCAGTGTGAGTTTTAGTCCAGGAAGTGAGCTTTTCAAGTTCATAAGTGTAGCGTTGCAAGCATGTAGTCTTACTTATGGACCCAAATTACTGGGGATGTCATCAAAAGAACTAAATTATTGCTTGTGAGTTTAATGCTTAAACAATAGTTTGTTACATGCTGACTTATCATTGTTTGTATTACTAAGCTACATTTTGCATCAGAGCAAATGAATGAGTATTATCTACATTATATAGAATAAACAGCTTTGCTGGATCAAGCTTATAGGGGACCCAAGGCTACTTGGGTAATTGATATTGTTGTTTTGAATAGCAAGTTTAGTTTTATAGATGGTAATCATGAGTCAGATGTGTTGAACACTTCTATTCTGAGAAAAAAATTATAATTATTGCTTATTCACCAGGCAAATATTTGCATTATTTGCATTCATTGATTCATGGTGAGTCCCTCCTGTTTGTTGGCTGTATGAAGAGTTTAAACAACTTAATTTTGCATCTAAAGAGAATTATTGTAAGATTAAACAAGATTTCTTGCTGAGCAAGCCCGTAATTTTTATAATTTGAGAGTCCTGATAAATATGCAATTACTATGTGGCTAAACTTGACTGCACACATTTTAAGTTGAACTGTGCTGCAGGCAAGCATGTGTATCCCTCTATCTTGGCTGCACTGTCTTCCGTGATAAGCTTGTCTGAGCCAGTACAACTTTGATAGGAGTGCAAGTACACAGTTAAAACCACACTTTAAGTAACATAATTAATCTATTCTTTCTAAAGAGATATACATTGTTGATTTTTATTTTCTGATTCACATTTTATAGCTGCTGGTCAGTACAGGTGCTTATTAAATTTTAAATTTCAAAACCACAAAGCAAATTAATATTGCCAAGGTGCCTCATATTTTCAGCAATTGTTCAACTTATTAAACATGCTCAAAGACAGCCCCACCGCAGTATCGCAGGTCAAGTGCTGCGATGGATTTGATGTACTGACTCTTAATAATTAATTGACAGATTAATTTAGTAATGTCTTCAAGTACAATACTGATACTGACAAAATTGTATGAATGTTCTCCGATTGCAAAACATTAGCATGCAACCATGAGAAAGGAGGCCCTTTCCTACGTCGTCAGTGACCTCCACTACATCACTACAACTTGTCAACACAGAAAGTAGCAAAGGTAGCAACTCAACAAATTTGAAAATACCTAGTTATGTTTGTTGGTTACTTAGAAATGCGATAATGAGTAAGAATACAGTATAGAATTGGTGCAGGTATACTAGACTTACGGTAGTTATGAACTGAATGTGGAAGCAACTATCATATCCAGAAATAAAGTATAATGAAGTCAGTTACACTTGTTAAAATTTTAATACCTCCTTACTGACATGATATTCAAACATATTGTCAAAGAACAATCACAAGCTTAATGCTAGATTACTAATTAAAAAATAAAATTATGGTTCACAAAAAATGTAATTAACAAGATGATTGACACACTGACAGCGAGAAGAAAATATTGCACATTAATACCACTATGGAAAAACATCATTATTGTCAAAAAAACTAAAATTATAGACATCAATTTCCAACAAAGAAAAAGTGGAAAATTAAAATTAACCTCCATTCCAGATATTACGTACTTCAATGCACATGAAGATGAGAAGGAGGGATCTACAAATAGTTTATATTCCAGTAAAGGAAAAGGAAAACTCACAAGCTAACTAACATATGTCAATTTTTTATAAAAAAAATGAGACTAGAATGGTAAAGGAACTGAAATCAAGTATGATATCAGAAGTGCAATACCACATACAAGATCACAATGCAGCACCAGAAATGGGACATAATATTTGAATGATAAACCCCCTCATAGGTGATCAAATAACCCACTTCTTTTCCTTGCAGTGGGAAGTAAGCAGGGCTTTTTATCAGCTGGATTTGCAAGACCTACAGGAGCTTTTCTTTTTCCAGTCTGAAAGAGAAATAGAATTGCAAATAAGACACTGCGAGCACTATTATAATGAACATTTGTGAGATTATTTTCACTACCAGCAAGCTGAGCATTTACCTTTGATTCAACATCTTCAGTTTTAATTTCTTTTTTGGGAGGACTGATAGCAGAAAACACAAAATTACCACTGCTTTTAGCTCCAGCCAGAACATTTTCTTTTGCAGGTCCAGTTATTTTGGCAAGCTTTGCTAAGACACCATCTCCCCGGGACAGGAACGAGCCTCTTTTGGTCTGAAAACAATGGTTGACATTCTTCATTCATTTCAGAGAAACTGCAAAGTTATCAACCTTCCTGTAGACAGGAAGGAGTCCCAAAAAGGATTCCTACTCACTAAAAACATGTTTCGTTTCCCATCTGGAGATAAGAGATTATTTTTAACAGTCGACTTTGCTGCAGGAGGCTCTTTAATGGTAGACGAATCCATGGAACTCGATCGACACTTGAAGAGAACAGACTTGCCCAGTTGTAGTAGTTCACTATTTTCAAGATCATCATCATTCTCCTCCAAATCTCCAGCCTCCTTTTTTTGCTTCTGTGAATTAATACACACCATGATGAGAGATATCTTCAAATGACAAATTCATGAACAGAGTACAAATTCAATGGCAATAAGAGCCACAGAGCCACAGACATTAATCATCTTTATTGTGAGGAATAACACTTGCCTCTCGCTGCTCTTTCAAAAACATTTCTCGCTCATGTCTAAGCTTGCGCCATTCAGCATCATCTTCATCTTCATCATGACCAGCATTTTCCTCATCTGACCTATGGCCATCATCTTCCAGGCCCGTTGAATCTACCAACCATAAAAAAAACATTGAATTTGATGCACTTAAACACCGGAAGACAATCACACCTTGATAATCAATCTTTTAATACGAACCAACGTTTTTCCATCTAAATTGTCGCTCCCTGCCACCATTTTCAGAGTGCAACTCGCCATCTTCTAAAAGCATTTCTTGTAAAATACGAACATCACGACGATCTTCATCAAGCATTTTCTGCCTAGAAATTTTTAAAAAATTAAAAAAATGAAAAAGCAAGAGAGAAGTAGACACAAAATTAATTTTGTGTCAAATGTAGCTCTCGTTCTTTACTGTTTGCAAGTTGCAAATATTGTTCTTGATGCTTTACATTTTCCAATTTTATTACTATATGCAGATATGCATATAGGAATGTCATGGATATTGGTAGTTTTAATACTGGTCTTGCCTGTCTAATTGTCTGTAAATGAGAACTCTTTTAAGAGTGGGGCCCGAGGCAGGGCCCGAACACAGCCCGAGAGCGGCCGGGGGACTTAGACTGAAAACCCTCAAATTTTTTGTTAAGAGTTCTCAAAATAATACAATTAAACTCAAAAGAAAGTTCATTGTTGGAATTAAGACCAGTATTTCCAAACGAGAATGGTATAATTTCTATGTCTGTAGGTATTGTGACTTGTGAGATGAAAGTGGAATAATGTTATGCATTACCTCGTTCTTCCACCACCAACTAGGTGAGGGTGGGTGGTAAAGAATGAGTAAAAAGAAGAAAAATACAAACATTGAGCCAAATTTAGAACTTACATATGATTTTTAACGAGTTGCTCCCTGACAAGATCTTGATCAATATCTTCCTTGTCTGCTTCATTCATTTCTAGTTGATCCAATCCTTTTTCATCTTCATCATCACTACCTTGCCAATCTTCTTCTTCAGAGAGTTCAGCTTCTTTTTCAAGGAAAGTACCAGCATCAATTTCATTCTCATCTGAATCATAAAACACTTCATTTGGCTCTTTAGAGAATATTCCAAAGAGCTTCTTATTTTCAGTGCTAGGAGCGTCACTATCATCATCACTTAATTCTGGCTCAGATGTGCCTTTTGGGACAGGATCTTCCTCATCATCTGAAAAATTAGATATTTAAATAAATTGCAACAAAGAGACAATAACAGTGTTTCAAAAGTATTGTAAAGAGTAAAACCTAAATAGTTTACCTGAAAATTCTAATTTTCTATGTCTCTTCTTTTTCTCTGTCTTTCTTTTCTCCATCTCATCATCCTCATCAGATGACATTATCTCCAATCTGAACTTCTCCTTTGACCTTAAAACAGATGAAACAAAGAGAATACTTGGCTATAGGTGTCTGAAATGTCAAGCGGTAATTGGTTTCCTTATTCACTTAAAACTTACACATCATCGTCCTCTCCAGCCTTCATATCCCCATCAAACTTAAGACTGAAATCCTGCAAAAACATGAATTAAAAGGAAGCACTGGTTTGAAAAGATCCAAAATTCAAGAAAAATAAAACATACCACAGAATCTTCGTCAGTCACTTTTACTGTTTGAGAGGACTCAGCTTCTGAATCCTGAGATAGGAACTGAGAGTTTAAAAGTTTTCCAGCATCTTCTAAATCCTGTGGACGTGGTAGCTGAGTAACAAATTTTCCAGAGCAAAGAGCCATTAAATCAGTTTCAGACTCCTCATTGCAAGATGTGTTTGCAAGACCTGGTATTTTTTCCTGAGAATCTGCAAAATGTCATAAGCATAAGATCATAAATTAAATGTTACTGCTGTTTCCACAACAGGAGAAACCAATGTCATGCTTCCTGTTAAGCACCTTGAGAGAAAATGTA